GGTTATTTCAGACTATATTGTGGAGATACCATCTTCCTGAGCTTTATGTTACAGTTTATTGTAGCTTTTTTAAATCGCATAAAAACCATAAAACATTGTTTGAGAATAAGTAAACATTCCTTTCAGCATTTAGAATATCTGGTTACATTATAAAATGGGTTAGTATTTTATGGACACTCCCCCAACAAATGGCTTATAACAAGGTTCGACTGTAGTTTGCAAATAAATAATAATCCCTGCATTTGATATAGTGTCTTATTACTTCGTCAAAATGTCTCAAAGCCCTTCACGTGATTAACTGTAGAGGTTAGTGACTATATATTTGGCAGCTAATTTTCACCCAGCGGTATCCCACAAACAGCCATGAAGTGAATGGTCAATTGTGTCTGGGGGATTGTTGGCCAGGACACTTGGAGAAGCTCCTTCTCTTCTTGAAAAGTGCCAAGGTATTTTTATCTTATCTTTTCCATCTTATCTGAAGGCCAGCACCCCAGGCAATGCAGAACTTCCCAAGTGGAGTGTCAGCCTAGAATAAGAACTCACAAGTGCTGACGTACGGCTCGAACCCACAGCCTTTTGACTCAAGAGCAAAAGTTCTACTAACTTTCTTCTCAATACTACTATTTGTATTCAATGAATGTTTTTCAGTGAATTTACAGTACTGACTTCTATTATTTATCACATCCATCAGATTTCTACTTTTTAACAATCAGTAAATTGGAATCAAAATACACGTCACTGCACTCTTCAGGTATCTCCGGTCAAGTTCTTTTTTGAATGTCCTCCCAACATGAAAGACCCAACATCAAATGTAACAATTATTATTACTGTAACCACTTTCAAAGAGAATGAAAGCTATGACTGTTTCTCAGATGAAGTCATGATACTTCCAATGGCAGCAGTAAGAGTATTCTCGAGAGATGCTGAAAATTGGTCATAACCTACACAGGGAGATAGATCGACACTGCAAACACCTGTTCCTCCATATCTTCATTTATTTGGGAGATGGCTTTCCTGCCATCTTAGTAGTGAATTTTTCCACATTATGGTAAAAAGTATCCCTCCACATAGTCCTCATGGAGCATGCGCAGGATCTGTATTTTCATGCTTGTTGGTTTCTCAGTCTGATAGACTTCTCCCCTTGGGCCATCTGGCACCTCTTCCCTCCACAACTGCTACTGTTCTTGCACAAATCCCAGGTGACTCATCCATTATTTTCACAACACTATCTAAATCCTCCACAGGTTATTGTTTTTAGGTTACAGCTTTCTTCACTGAGTGTGTGAGTGAGTGTGAGTGAGTGAGTGAGTGTGAGTGAGTGAGTGAGTGAGTGAGTGAGTGAGTGTGTGAGAGTGAGTGAGTGAGTGAGTGTGTGTGTGTGAGTGAGTGAGTGTGTGTGTGAGTGAGTGTGAGTGAGTGAGTGTGTGAGTGTGAGTGAGTGTGTGAGTGAGTGAATGAGTGAGTGAGTGAGAGTGTGAGTGAGTGAGTGAGTGAATGAGTGAGTGAGTGTGAGTGAGTGAGTGAGTGTGAGTGGAGTGAGTGAGTGAGTGAGTGTGTGAGTGAGTGAGTGAGAGTGAGTGAGTGAGTGAGTGTGTGAGTGAGTGAGTGAGTGAGTGAGTGAGTGAGTGAGTGAGTGAGTGAGTGAGTGAGTGAGTGAGTGATGATGAGTGAGTGAGTGAGTGAGTGTTACAGCGACCATTACAGGAAAAATAGGAGAGAGAGAGAGACACAGAGAGAGACACAGAGAGAGAGAGAGAGAGAGAGAGATACTGAACGTTTACTCCCTTCCCCTATGAATCGCTCTTCTCCTCTATGTATATATATATATAAAAAACCTAAAACATTAAAAATAAAGTATTGCGTCCTTGAGCCACCGGTTGCATTCTTCCTCTCGATCAGCTGCTGATTTCCTCAGGACACGACCCCCCCTCTCCCTCTGGTCGTGGAAATGCAATCTCTCTAAAGATCTGATGGGTTTGATCTGAGACTTTCCTTCCCAATCGTTGTGTGTGTGTGTGTTTGTGTGTGTCATTTTTTTTGGGGGGGGGAGGGGACAGCAGAGGACTTTTTAATTATTTTGTTAATATTATATATGTTTGTGTCTGTGTTTTTTTTTGGGGAGGGGGAGAAGGGAACAGCAGAGGACTTCTTAATTATTTTATTAATATATTATATGTTTGTGTGTGTTTTTTTTGGGGGGAGGAGGGAGAGAGGGGAGAAGGGAACAGCAGAGGACTTTTATTATTTTATTAATATTATATTATATGTTTGTGTGTTTTTTTTTTGGGGGGAGGAGGGGAAGGAACAGCAGAGGACTTTTTAATTATTTTATTAAATATTATATTATGTTTGTGTGTGTTTTTTGGGGGGGAGGAGGGGAGAAGGGAAAGCAGAGGACTTTTTAATTATTTTATTAATATTATATTATATGTTTGTGTGTGTGTTTTTTTTTGGGGGGGAGGAAGGGGAGAAGGGAACAGCAGAGGACTTTTTGATTATTTTATTAATATTATATTATATGTTTGTGTGTGTGTTTATTTTTTGGGGGGAGGAGGGGAGAAGGGAACAGCAGAGGACTTTTTAATTATTTTATTAATATTATATTATATGTTTGTGTGTGTGTTTCTTTTGGTGGGGGGAAGAGGGGGAGGGGGAAAGCAGAGGACTTTTTGATTATTTTATTAATATTATATTATATGTTTGTGTGTGTTTTTTTTGGGGGGGAGGAGGGGAGAAGGGAACAGCAGAGGACTTTTTAATTATTTTATTAATATTATATTATATGTTTGTGTGTGTTATTTCTTTGGGGGGGAGGAGGGGAGAGGGGAGGGAAAGCAGAGGACTTTTTAATTATTTTATTAATATATTATATGTTTGTGTGTGTTATTTTTTTGGGGGGGGGGGAAGGGGAGAAGGGAACAGCAGAGGACTTTTTGATTATTTTATTAATATTATATTATATGTTTGTGTGTGTTATTTTTTTTGGGGGGGGGGAGAAGGGGACAGCAGAGGACTTTTTAATTATTTTGTTAATATTATATTATATGTTTGTGTGTGTGTTTCTTGGTGGGGGGAAGAGGGGGAAGGGGGAAAGCAGAGGACTTTTTGATTATTTATTAATATTATATATATTGTTGTGTGTGTGTTATTTTTTGGGGGGAGGAGGGGAGAAGGGAACA